GTTACAATGTGGTTAAACGACGACGAGATTATTGAAGTACGTAGCCACGTATGTACTTATAAGAATACACATATAACATCGCGATATTTATGTACTTAGGCCGAGCGTTGATGCTACATGCAGGAACGTGTAGGGTACCTATACTTAYTACATGCAGCTGCACGTCCTATATTATACTATTTGATAAAATGGTTATTTTGAATGAGCGTTTAAGGCCACTTTGTTCAACTAATAAGATTAAATAAAATTAATAATACAACTAAATAAGAATATAAAAATGGATTAAATTAATATAAATATTATGTATTGATTTTTTCTTTTAAAAAAATATCGACATTACATATATTTTATATTTTTATAAAATTTTTAATTTTAATCACTTTTTCGAAAATGTTGTATGCATATTATTTTGGCCTGTTTTGAGCTGAATTTGTATCTTGTTTAATTTGTATATAGTGCATTCTACACAACCGTAGTTATCAGACATAACACAATTCTATATCCTACTTAGACATTTTCGCTCAAGTATTTCAAAYATGAAATGTGATTTAAAAGTTTTGACATTTTAATTCTGACACAATATTTGTAATACCTACTTGAATTACTATTATTGTTACAAATTAAATTTTAACTAGATACAACCGAAGTGCCTTCGCTGGTTGGTTCTTCCCTCAAAACACTCAAGCTAATACATATAAATAATTTTAGAAAAATAACATCATTTATGCTTATTGTATTTTTTTTTTATGTACAGATTGTATAAAATCTAAATAAATTAAAATAAATTAAATACAAATATATAATATGATAGTATGAAAGGGGATAAGGGGATAAGATAAGCCCCTCAATTAGTTTATAGACCGATTAAGATTCTGTACACTTGAATACAATTTTGGCTTAACCTGTATGGCTGTATATATATATATAGTATATACAATATACATCTTTAATAGATTATTATGTATTAAAAACTCTCAATACAGCCCGTAGCTACGGGGTAGAAGGGCAAGAGGGTGCGTGGCCCTCCCTAAACCCAATCGTTGCACCCTCTAAAAATATAAAAAMTATTAGAAATTAATATTATTTTTAACTATAATTGCCCTATAACATTTGGTTTGCCTCACCTGAAAATTTGGCCTGACTCGGTCCCATAGTCCACATAGACAACTCCAAAAAGCCCTAAAGTGATGTAGCAATATTATGATATATAATTTATAATATAATAATAATATGGTAGAATATATTTTGTAATCTGACATTAATAGCAGTGCCAGTGTTATTAATCTAATTTTAATAAATTACAATAGAAATAATAGCATATTCAGATTTATTTAAAAACACCTGTATACATATAGTTTAGTGATTGCATACAAATCATACAATCACGCCACCGTGGGCCAATAAAGGGCACCACTATCCGACGTAGACGTAAAAAAGGTGTCTAATTTAGAATCATAATATAACATGCGGACTTACAGTTGCTAGTGCAGTAGTGCCTCCTACAACATACTATAATCTGTCTCTTTAATATTTGCTATATTATTTTTAAGATGTTAACAAGCTTCGAGACAAACTTACAATACTTATCTCCTAACTTATACTGATTTGTTTTTTAATATAAATAAAAAAAAGTGCTGTATAAGATATTATATTCATATCTTGTTTGTTGATTTTTATTAATATTATATCGACCAGATCCGTAGAACAATATAAGCTAAAAACGTAGTAAACTTATTTATGGTGTTCATTCCAACGTGAACGTGACTTGACGGTCCGATGACGTGTTATATCGTTATTGGCACGATAACGGTTTATGGTTTTTACCAAATAACAATAACATTTTAACGGTTACCCAAGGGTTAGAGTGTTAGACCATACAAGATACAACGTTTTGATGTCGTTGTATAATATGGTACATCATTATAATATTTAAAAAGTCAGAGACGGCTATATGTCTATACAAATATTAATGTACACCGAACAATAATTATTACTATAAAAACACTATGTCACTATAACACCCAYGATGAGTCACATAATAATATTTATTGACATACAATGTAATATAATACACACTGCGTTTAAACTCTTTTATCGTACAGTGTGTTACATTATATTTTATAATATTATAAAAATATTCTGTATATCTGTGTCCAACTCGCACATTTTTTTCAGCGTATGTATATGATTATAAAAGTTTTGAACAGTTTTAATAARTCGATAATAATTGTTATGTTGTATCTGATTTTGATTTTTCCCAAGAAAATCAACAGTGGAATGCCTTCGTCCGATTCCGACGAGACTTTGACWCTTTTTCCAAGCTTGCCCGTCTATTCGGTTTCGTCGAACAATTCTGACAGCAAGAGGATCGGCCTGTCGTGGATGAGATTTGTCGTCATCAGTTTAATGTCTACAGCGTTTTTACTACAAGTATATAAAAACATGTAAACTCGCGCGAGCTAGGATCACGCGATACCGAAATATTATAAATTAACGTTTACGCCCAACTATATTTTATTATTATTATAATACGTGAAACGACTTCGATATAATTTTACGATCCCATTATATATTAAATGTACGAAACACGTTTGAAAGCGGGACGCGTATTGTTAATATTTCCCAAAATTATATATCCTACTTGCAGCCCCGGGTTCGATATAAAACATTAATATTGAAAATAATACATTATATAATAGATATGTCTTACTCCAACGTTTGCTTGCTCGTACACGTACACAATAACACAATGTCATATTATTATTATTATTGTTTTAAATTGCAATAACCTAACCGCTCGAGTGTTCGTATGTCGCATTCGATTAGCGAAAWAAAAACACCGTAAGACTTAGATATTGTATAATATAAGTACACTACTGTTTGGTTGTACATTTTTGATGAAGACCATAAAATATACCTACACACTATTTATCTACCTCCGTATTAGTCATTTTCTCAGTCYATCTGGAGCGCCATACACGAGCCGGCACTGTTGGCTTTTCCAAACTGGACTAGCAGATCGCTGTCCTTATTGCCCATATGGGGAAGTCTGACGACTACGGTGCTAGTGTTTCCAGCATGTATAACGATCAATAAATACGGTACGGATACATATAATAATAATAATAATATTATACATATAAATATTATAATAGTAATAATAATGATAATAAACTATAGACATTATCGCCTGTCTGGACTTTGTTGTTGTTATTATTACTACATCGTGAATCACTGCAATATCACCGTTGTTAATTATTATTGTATATACTATATTATCACCGCAGGATTGAAATTGAACCTGTTATGGTCGTGCTGTTTTTTTACGTTGGGCACAGCTATAAGATGTATGCCGACCATGCACTCGTGTACGATGTAAGTGTGTATGTATTCCGAATAACGCCAGGATGTATATCATTTACATTACAATATTATAATACATTGTGTAGGACTTAGATACGTGCGTAAAAAAAATTATTAGAACCTCATATTTATGGCCACGTGGCCGTGAAATCTTACGTATCTATAATCTATATATAGAATTGTTCTCCTGCTGCAGTGTATAATGTATTTTTTTATAATTTATTGTACGTATCGAGGTGTGCAAGGCTAAGCTAGTTAATTGATACTTTTTAACTCATAAAATTGAGCTGATATAGAACAATTTAAGTTAAATTTTAAATTAAAAGTTATACTTGTACATTTCTAAAAAATACATACACAAAATTAGAAATATTGTAAAATAAAATAATACATATTATGAGTAATAATTGACAGAAAAATAACAGAAATGGAGTTGACCATCCAATGATAGATACTATTGATTCGTATCCACAAATAGTTATTTAATGCTTCGACTTTAGTATTTACAGTGCGTACAGTAGGTATATTACAATAATTGTTAATAATATGTACGATTTTAATACTTCTTATTTTTCACAAAAATTATAATAATTTCAAATTTTTAAGACTAAATATATTTTTAATCTATGGTATTCTACATATAAGGAAATAAAACTACTTGACGTCTTGTCGTGATTATACAATTAATTAACTGATTATCATGTAACTACAATCTAAATATGGATAAAATTTAACTTGTTTTAGGTAATAGTAACTTAACTATAACATTTTAATTAGTTTCTTTTAATACTTAGTGGCTGGTCTTGTAAATAATATGTATAAAACATAGTTAACTTATATATATCCTATAATTATTCACAGAAACGAAGCGTACGTTTCGCGTTTACTGCGGACTTGTAAATTGATTCAAAATTGTATTACACGATGTACGAGTTTGTAAAAAGTGGTGTAACTATATAACACTTAATATTTGGAGCAGTGCGTGCATAATTTCAAGGTTTATTTAAAATTTAAACAAGTGCGCTTTTCGACGAGTTTGCAGTATATATTATAATAACTATATATATAAATATAATGAACGTCGCACAAAATCAATTACGATTTTATTGAACGACGAGTGAAACTATATATATATACCTATAATACATTGTAGCACTATTTTACAATTATACGTTCAAATTATATTATATATATTATTATATAGGTATAGGTATAACAGTTATTGTAACGATCAAAATTGATTTCCTCGTATAATCGTTTACCACGCGCCAAATCGGTTCAACCGATGCAGTATAATATATATATATATATATATATATACGTATATAATATTATAAAGTAGCACGCCCCTTCGTAACGCGTGGTTATAATGATTACAACGATCCATCATACTTAATATATATTATATTATTATAGGTGTTTGCACTTGTCGGCCATATGCCAGTCCGTGGGCGGCGTGGAGATGACGCCTCTGATAATAACCATGTCGGCGCAGTGGTTCCCGAAAAACGAGAGAAACATGGCTACCGGTCAGTGGCTCGCCAAGAACGATCGTCGCATTTTCGTCATAATTATTTATACCGCATATACCATAATATAATAATATGTAGACTTGAAAGTTATACCGTGATATTGATTTTCGCTCGCGTTTAAATAGGTTTCTGTCTAGCGGTCAAGATGCTGGGATCGGCAGTCACGTATAAAATCGTCCCCAACGTGGTTTCAGTGGTGAACAACGGACCGCTGAAGCCGTTCATCGTGAGAAGTCAGATCATGCACATGCTGTACGCATGTACGGAGACTTTAACGCCTAGAGCGTTCGTACTATACGCAATACGCGTATAATATGCAGTGCCATTCACGTATTATAATATATTATGCATATATTTTACAGGTCTGGCTCTGAATGTATTCGTCACGCTTTTGGTGTACACGTTCTTCCCGAAATGCACTACGCCACTTAGCTACGAGTCCAAATTGTCGATAGAGTCGCACCAGAGCGCCAAAATGTTTCACTCGCTTAAAACGCTCGTCTCGTACGTATGTGCCCTTCCCCTCCCTCCCGATAAATTAAACGAGAATGGTGTTTTTTTTGTTCTTCGTTTTCAAGGAATCTCGATTTTTGGTGTCTCGTGTTCGCCTTCACGCTGTCCAACACGATGTCAGTTCCGTGGGCGGCGCTGATACCGTCGATTTTTTTCAAACACCTGCACATGCCACCCGTAATCCGTTGTCGTTGACGACGTTTCGTATTCTTTTTTTTTTAAATTTTGCGTACAATAATCAGTGTGTGCATTTTCTCCTAGGAAATGTCTACCGAAACTAGTTTTTTCATGATCCTTCACGCTTTCGCCTTGAGCCTGTCGTTCAGCACGTTCGCGGACCGCGTCCCCGCCAACAGAAAAAGGTTCATTCTGGCCAGCCGTTACGTGTCGACGACTTTCCTCTTTTGGTTAATGCTCATAATGAACTTCAAATTAAAGTTCACGCCAAGTACGCACACGCAAGCATATTTATATACATATTATATTTCTCCGCGATAAAGACCATAATTATATTTTAATATTAACGACTTTTACACGCTTTTTCAGCCATCTTGCAATGCGTCGTCCTGATGGCCTTTCCGTACGCTTGGTGTACCCAGTCACTCCTGTACGAAATGGGTGTCGAAATGATGTATCCGTTGCCCGAATGTTTCGTTGCAGCTTACATGACACTGTCGAACAATTTGTTCGTGGATTTCGTATACGTAGTATTGTATTTTTTTCCTCGTTTCGGTAATTTTAATTTTCAAACACTCCGCCAAACAGCACACTGGAAAAATAATTAAGTATAAATAGTAACGATCGATCCTTATCAAAGATTTTATATATTTATGATGCAATTATATAATATGAATGATATATTGTATGTGTGAGCCATGAAAATATCGTTAAGACTATGTTTTTAACTTAATTTGATTTTCCAGTGTTCTACCTAATAATTTTCATTTTCGAGAAATATTGTATAAATATGATATATCATATTTTTTCTGTGTCCAGATCAATACTGGATGCACATATGTGTATACTTCTTCTCTGTTCTAAGCATTATCTTTTTAAATAACACGAAGGATGTGACAAAARTAAAAAAGTAAGAACTCGATATAAATTCAGTTATTTTAACATAGTATATCATTTTCATTTTATACGTGTATATGTAGTTAATTTTAACTTTTACCATAATAAATAATACAGTTATAATTTCATTGTTTTTCTGCAATATTTTATAGTTAATATGTTATTTTGTTTGTCGTGAACACGCCATCTTTCTCGTACATATACACTTAATTATAATATAATAATATTATGATATACCTATAGTATTTTTTTTAAATATTACGTCTTTGATATATTACAGACATGTCCAATGTCGAAACCATAAGCCATTTTGCCTGAAACAACCAACTTTTAATCCTGAAGTAATAGATAATGATTCACACTTCAGTAAGTAGAGTTTTATATATGTTTATTTGTTGTGATTGGACATACTGGATGCTTCAGGAATACAATAGTTATGGATGTATTATTTAGAAAATTAAGAATAAATTAAACTAATAACCATAATCATTATATTGTTGAATTTTAAATAAAAATAATCGTAAGCCATTATATTATATTGTTATTAAAAAAAAAACWCTGCACAATAATATAWACTGCGCAGCAACAAACGGCAACACTCACGCCTATAAATTATAGACTATAATGGCATATTTATATCAGATTTTGGATAAGTAATTCATTATTCATAACATTATGAGTATATAAGGTTTAGGTAGATAAATGGAATAGTAGTAATGTGGACAAAAATTTTGCTGTAGATACCTACCATCGTAGTATCACTAACTCCGAATATCAAAAAATTACTCATGAACTACTCATCCGAAATTCGATTTAAAATTTTAATACATCGAAGTAGGTAMTCAATAGATTTTAAAATGATAAATATTTTTCGATAAAATAATCATCTACGCAGTAAATTACTTTTTACTTTTAACAGATTGTTTTTACAGCTAATATTAGAAGATGTTTAACTTTGTTATTCACTTATAAGATACGTATTTTTGACACATTTCCATCTGTCATAACTCATAAATCATAATAATATATGTTCTATAGAGTACAGGTTTTTTTGAACAAGACGAAGTGCGTTCTTAGTTGGCGATGTCAATGTCGCGCGGTGCGCCGCAGATGAGAAATACTCAACAAGAATCGAATACGTATCTTAGTCGTATAATGTAATACAATATGTATAAGACACATATTTTTGTATTATATTATTTATATTCGTATACTGTTATGATAATAATATATTATTATGTTTTATGGTTTCGTTTCTCGAAAATGTTAACATCGTAAAGGGACAACGGGCAAAGAAATGTAAGTAATTCATCGAACCACCTCGAATCCATTCCGGCGGCGTGCTATGTATTATAATTTAATTGTATGTATAGTGACACTTTGGAAACGATCGTATATATATATCACCATCGTTTAGAATACTATTCAGGCGAGTCCTGGAAAATTCCGTCTATTGGCCGATATATTATATATTATCGTATTATGTTATTATTTTGTCGAATACACACACACACCACCCGCACACGCTGCGACGACCCGTATCGCTGACTCGTTCGATGTTTACGTCTTGTTATACTCGCTGTTGCAATAAAGCGATACGATACTGCGCACAATGCACCACATGCACAACTGTTATTATATTGTCGTCGTACATTATATTATTATAAGTCGTTCGCTGGTCGAGACGTGAAACTCACAAACACACACACACACGTGCGGTGTCGGATCGTTTAGGCAAACAAAGGTTTTTTTTGTCATCGTCGTCGTCGTTGGAGCTCGCGATCGATCAAACGATCGACCTAACCGTATAACAGCGTGGTGTATAAGGACTCGGTGCGTATATTATATATAATACGCTGCATGCACGACTTCTTGACAAGTAGCGTATATGTGACTCCTGCACGTGCGCGATCTCGCAAATCGTATATTATTTTATGGTATATAGTCCTATACATATTCACATGGACGTCCGACCGCGAGAGCGTCCCGCTGGTTCTCGTCCTCGTCTTCGCGGTCGTCGTCGTCGTCGTCGTTCTTCTGTCGTTCTGCGTGTGTTATATACATATAATATATAATATTATATTGTATTATTGTGCGAGTGTGCATGCGTGCCATCTTTATTATATTATTGTATTTTATTATTATTATTATATTATTGCGCACGTCTTCTACCGATAAATGCGTACATAATATAATATTATGTATAATACGTGCACACGCGGGATATGAGGCTGCCCGTGCGAGCACTGTGAAGCTCCGCAGCTGTTCTCTGATGCGGAGCGTATATACATTATACGCATAAATGCGAAGACCGGATACCGAAGATTAGCGTGGTGATCTATGAAGGACCGCCCCGACGAAACGGACTTCGGACTCGGACCGCGTTCCTTTTGTCCGGTCCGGAATCCGGGAAATCAACCCACCGGGGAGTGAGGTCCGGCCCCGGGGCTCAAGACGACAACGGTGGCGTCACTTGTATGTATATACTCAAGTCATTGTGTTTAACGCGATTCGGATGTGACCGCCGCCGCGCACATGCCATCGTCTTGTTGTATTGTCTGTATAATACATATCATGTGGAAGCAGTGAAGGCAATTCCATGTGTGTACCTACACATATAGTAAGTATATATGTATGTGTATGTACATTGTATATTTGTATCGGCCTGCGGCGAGGACGGAAGTCGTCGGAATTAAGAGAGTTCTCCTGGGTCGACGTCAACCGCTCGTTATTGATTTATGCGTTTTATATACGATGCGGAACTAATGTTATGTTTAGGTGTATAGAAAACACAAGTAGATACTCGGAATTCGTCTTATTTATATGAACATAGTATAGTGCTGTGGCGATGAGAACAAAAAACGCGTGTCTGCATTATATTAAACATGAAGTATCCTCGTTTTTTGCCTCTTTTTTATAAGTATAAACACATATAGTACCTATAATAGCCTACCTATATATATGATACTCGTGTAGGATGGCAGACTTGATCTGTGCCTTACCACGAAACCTCGTGTCTATCGCAGGCTGCAGGACAAACCTAACGCGGTACGAACGATTTTCAGCGTTTATATCTATCCTATATATACGTCTATATACGTATAAGCATCAATATATAATATATTACATGATTACAARCTGCAGCTATCGGAAACTCGCTTTCGTGAAKTCGGGGTTCCGTGGAACACGCTGAAAGTGAATRGTGGATAGGTACGTCAATGTTGTTGAAATTRCATATAAAAGACACTCACATTGTGTATGATGGTTAAAAACAATAATTTGAGGAGATGATAAGGATTTGTGATAAAGCTTGGTGTTCTCGTTTCGAAGGTGGAACTGTTTGAAAATAAAGTTTGAGTGCACTCACTAAGTATGTCCTGTAAGTGAGTGACCTCAAGTAAAAATCGATTAATTTTCAAGTTAGCAACCCAGTTTATATTATATATACATATAAATAATACAGATACCTATACCTACAATTTAATAATAAAAAGTTTATTTGACTAGATGAMAATTAAGAAAGTTTAAAATAGTAATAAATTATTACTAATAATGTATAAAAAATTAGCAAATAATTAACAACACGTGTATAGGTACTTACTTAAATAATATTTAACATTGTGTTTCAAATATATAGCAAATTATTTTAAATCATTGTTGATTAGTTGTATTGTTTTATTTAGGATACGTCTCGTACCCACTTGTATAAATGTTTAGGCTGTTTTGTGGTATGAACAAACAATAGTGTATACTACTATTAAACATTTAAATTTAACCAAACTAATACTAATCAGTAATCATGTTCGGTTAGGTTAGAACAATTAATTTTTAACACCTATAAATGTAACTATAAATTAATATCATTTTTAATAAAATGCAAATTAAAAAAAAAAAATGAATATCATGGACTTAAAATAATTTGCAAATTTTCATGATTTTACGAATTTTGTCAAAATTCTAAATGCAAATGCTCGAAAAAATGATTGTGGATTTTTTATATTCCCTATAACAACAACTTATGCGAAACCTTGTATAACATTTTCAGTGAAAAATTGAAAATTGAAACATTTTATTTTCGACTACTTATCACGTACACTCGAGTTCGCAGACACAAAAAAATAATAAAACTCCGCTGAGAATCTTTAACAACAATAATATTTTTGAACTTCGAAGAATAAATAAAATGTTATTAATCATTGTTTATTTTTTAACACATTGGCCGTCAGGGACAGAGGGGTTTTTCATTGTGTTTCTTAAATTTTCCACGAGATCTAATTCTAAACCTCAAAAAAATGAATAAACCCAGATTTTTAGATCTCAGTGAAAACGATTTTAAGGGTTCACGAATTCTAAGTCTCAATAATCAATATTGTATTGTAAGATTTGAAATATATCTTGTTTTAATTTTCAGCATACATAGGTGCTTAAAGTTTGAAAGTATTATTATTAGTTGTTTTAAGTATAATATTYTGTTCAAATTAAAAAACCATCCGACTTCTAACGTTAGCGGATGATTTAAAAGTATTTAACTTTAAATATGCAATAAGTGGAACGACTTTACAATTTCTTAATGAAAAATCTATCAATGATCAAGGTTTGATTCACTGCCCTACGTTTAGTCCGATTGAACATATTGAGCGAGCCTGCTGTAAGTCCTGCTGTAATATTAGGTTTTATTAAACGTATATCACAAATGAGTTTAATACCAGTACGTTAAGACCTTTAAAATGATATGCATATTTTAATGCCAGACACATGTCTACAGATGCGTGTGTATTCATGTCAGTGAAGTGTGTAGGTAGTAGGTTCTGGCACATTATTAAATCATCRTAATATTATACGTCATTATGGCTCTTATGTATTACGCGAAAGCATATATTATGTGTAAATAGTCATTACTCCTATATGAGTACCTACATTATATGTTTGGCGATAACAAACTCGCCCACGAAACAAAATCGATCGCCATTCATGAAAAAATGTTTAAGAAATAAAACGTAACGACKGTGAAAAAACATGCCCACATCCGATAATAATATTATATTTTATGTTACAATGGTATATTATCGCGAAACAAAGATCTATATAGTTTTAAAAGGGTTCTCCGTTCCTTTTTGCCCGTCGCACACACAAAGAGGAGGTTTGTATGAGACCGATATTATATATGATATATAATGTACTATATTATATTATAATTGTTAAAAAAAAAAAATAGTTCTACACGCGCCTACACGTGCGTATTATTTTCGTTGGCTCTAATGGATCAAATACGGATGATTAATGAATGTATAGCAGGATCCATATAGCCGATGTGGTTGTCGGACGGTTTCCATTGCCCCGGGGCCACTKTATACAACAAACCGGTAAAAAGAGC